TCTCAAAGGGAAGGGGGTAGAGTTTAAATCAAAAACCCAATGTCTCTAACTATACACTGGAATGCATTATACTACTTTCATGTGCTGTATTTTTTTATTATTGGATACATTTGGTTTTTTCCAAGAGTGTGTGCGTGTGTGTGCGTGTGAATACACATACACTCACAGACATATATATATATATATATATATATATATAAAGGTACACTGTAAAAAGTGTTTTACTGCATTTTCCTTAAGCAGAGAAATCTGACAAACTGAAAATATTTTGCAGGTATATTATAAGTATGTGAATGATTTGTCTTTTTTGCATGAAGGTATAGCTATAGCCAAGAGATATTTTTGCAAGGGGAAAAACTTATATTAAAAGCAAAACTTAGCCATTTCCTCTGCATGCCAGTGTCTGTGCAATACGAATAATATTAGCATACCAAAACTGGGCATTTTACTTCATTAAAAATACCCTTTATAAACTAGAAGATAGGTGTTTTTCCCCTAATAAATGTTTTTATAATTTATAATTCACCTTCATCTTTCCTAGGCCATGGATTTGCATAATCTTACTTAACTACCAGCCTTGCTGGATCCAATTGAATGCCCATCTCATCTACTATATTGGGCTGAGGGAAAAATTTTCCGCTTGGATTACAAGAACATTTATCTGACATGAAAGTTACTAATCTTTTCAACCAATTTAATCAAAGCAATCTAACAGGCCTTTATTGAATCTTTTAGATTGGTCACTTTTCAGTTTTTTGGTAAGATTCTAAAGACCTGGAACATATTTTGTGAGAAGAGCTGCAACTTCACATTTGATATCTTTTAAAACTCTTTAATTTAATATTGTCTGAATCTAGTGATTTCTCCAATTTGTCAAAAAGATCTAGAAGTCCCAGCTTAACATCAAGGGATGTCAGTATACTTCTAGGCATCTTTAGGCCATTCACTTGTCTTTCTGTTTCATTTTGACATTTTATATTTCCAGACATTACTTTAATTAAAAGAAATAGGAAACTGGCATGCTCTGAAATACACAGCTATCTTCCAGCATCACTTTTATTTCTAAAAACCTTCCGGGCCTCAAATGGATATGAAAGGGCAAATATAAATAGAAGCAGATATAGCATACAAATGGCAGGCAGTGATTTGGCAAATCAGAGGCTTGTGCATGCTTATATCCTTTGTAGCAGATACTCAGTGGTGTGATTTATCAGTAATAAGACAGATCAATATAAATGTGGGCTGCTGTAGTTTAGACCTGCTGAAGCCAAGGACAACCTCGCGTAGAGTGAATTTCAGTAATATGAACAAGAGATTACCAGGATACAACATGCTGTCTACTAAGGTTGGTCCTTGGATTATGACAGTTCTGTTCAATGATCATACAGTTATGATGGTGCTGAACAAGGGGGACTTATGTCTAGTGATCAGGAGTTCTGGCCATTGCAAGCCCCCCCCCAATTGTATGATCACAATCTGAGCACTCAGGTGCCCAGCTTATGATTACAATATTGCAGTGGGCTGTGGCCATATGATCTTCATTTGCAATCTTCCCTGACAGCTTCCTACAAGCAAAATCAAAGGTGAAACTAGCAGAAAAGGCCACAAGCCACCCCCACTTTTTTTGTTAAGAGTCCTCCTGCAAAGGATGAGATCCCAGGAATCCTGTATTCCACAGTGTCCACCCACCCATGTTCCAAAATGCCTGCCAGCCCACCTATGTTCATTAGCATCCGCCTGCAGCATTGCTTATCTAGAATTTCAGTCACTTGAGTCCTCTCTTAATGAGCCACATAGTCTCTGCATTTGCTGTTGCTTTCAGAACCACATTACTTAGTGATAGGAATTCCAGTCCTAACTGCTATTACAACCCAAGGATTATCTGTACACCCTATTGCAGGAAAATGGCTGCCCTGTTTAAGTTGCATCTACTTTTGGCTTCAGAGGCAATAATGACACCAGCATGGGTAATCAAGGTTTTATTCCAAAGCAATATGAAAAATAAAGGAGAAAACAATCAAATACAAGTTACAAAGAGTATAATACTAATATCTAAGGTAAAGAAATCTTGCACCTCTTCTGTTAGTCAGGAAACTTCTCCAAATCAGCAAGTGTACATTAACTCCCAGATGAAGTCTGTTCTAAAGTTCCACTCTGCAAGTGCTTCTGACTGGTTTATATACAGTAGATTATAACTATGCACAGTATGTCTGCTCATCTCTGCCAAGGACAGGGTGGATTGGTGTATCTTATCAGTATGTCCAGCTGTCCTTGCCAAGTACAAGGAGAAGTTTAACTTTTATCTTCTCTTATCCTTGAAAGGCCACAATCAGGCCAAAGAGTGCCTTGTTTACCCCAGGTGAGTCTAGCCAAGAACAGAAAGAGTTCTGCCACTGAAGTCCGAAGTTAACTGATCTAGTGTGCGAAATACTCAAGTGCATTTCACTGTGCAGCTATTATATGGAAATATAGAATTTGGCACACATTGCTACTCATTTCTACCTTGTCAATCTCCCAGTAGGACCTTGATTACCCTGACGCATTAGCTAAGCAAAGGCTTTCTTAATCATGGCTTCCAACTGCTCCTCTAGAAGGTGCTATAACTTCAGGAGTCCCAAAGATGCTTTTCAAAAAGCAACTGGACTTTCTTTGCTTTTTTTTTCTTGAAGACATTTCACTTTTCATTCAGGAGGCTTCTTCAGTTCTTCAGTCCACTTCAGTTCTGAACCGAAGAAGCTTCTTGGATGAAAAATGAAAAGCTCACAGAGAGAAATATCTGCTACTACCTACGTTTGAACTCACAGCCTCCTGATTGTGAGGCGAAAGACAATTATAATTATAATAAAGACAAAATCAGCTTAATAATTGAAAACTGGTAAAAGAGTAAACCTTTTCATCAACTTATTCATATATGACTTCATTTCTGCAACTGGATGGGTCTTTTCTGAGAAAAGCCCAATAAGGGTTCTTTAAAAGAAACCTCAGTTTCATCCATGATTCCTAACAATCATTTCAAGCTGGTTTGGCTCAAGCTTAATTCTGGTTGTTTTCCAGTAGACTGGATCCCATGAACATAACATCTTAATACAAGACACTGATTCCAACTGCACTGAATTCAGACCTTGACTGGCTCTCTTGGTGCCTCATGTTCCTTGTTCAAAGCATCAGAGATTGGCCTAATAGTACATCATGTATTATTCAGAATTTTACCTTGTAAGTATGTGTGTTACAACTTAACATTTTTTTTTAACCACAGGAAATAGATATAACAATAATACTGAGAAAGCTATGGGAACATTAACAGAAAACAAAAATACATTTCTAGAAAATTATAGTTCGAAAAGGCTGATGTGCAAAATTGTTTTAATTTTGGGGGGGGAAAGGAGAAATGAAAGTTGAAAACTAAGGCGCAAATCATTGAACATTTTGTCAGTTGAAAGGAATGAATTGCTGATCTCAAAGCACTTTTAAGGAATCAAAAGTATCGCACAAAATGGATAAGTAATCCCACCATGGACAGACCAATAAGAATGAAAAGAATTCCGGTGCTGAAATACAGGGGGCCCAGTCTGTGCAAATAGAAAGGAGAGGGGGGGGAAAGCTAGAGTTAATTGAGGTTGGCTGTTGCCACAGTAATGTCAGTATTCTCACAAATAGCTTCCATAGTATCTTGGTAAATAGACTAAGACAAGCCCTGCAGATACAAGCTGCATTACTGGGGAAGGGTTTAAAAAATGCCGATCTAGCAGAATTAACTGACTAACTTGTAACTACCAGTGTTGTAGGATGGTAACAGTCAAACTGCATCCACATCCTCAGCTTTGATTCTTTTTCCCCCTGACGTAACCTCTCAAGTCCAGACCTTCATCTTTCCAAATTCACCAAACATGGAATGGCCTTGAGATGATCTAGAGATGCACAATTCTATACCTTATCTTCTTGGACTAACCACAGAAAGATAGTTTCTGGTAGTTTCTTTTCTTAAAATATTATAAGGGGGAAATAATGTAGAACAGGGTTGGGAGATTATGGCCCCTTTATGACTTGTAGGCCTCAACTCCCAGAATTCCTGATGAACTTTGAAGTCCACAAGTCATAAAGGGGCCAATGTGTAATGAAAGAGATGTTCCAAGATGATGCATTTTCTTAGTCTTAATTATCAATGAATTCCTTAATCTGTATCAAATCTATACCCTTTGAGAGCTTATGGGGTTAAATATAAAATTAATCTATTTCTGTGGGCCAACTTAGGAGAGAGGAAGTTAGGGAAGATTTAAAAAGCCACCTAATTTGTTTTATGCAAGGGATGATTTTTTTTATTGGAAAACATCTTACACTGTGTTACCTGCCTTTAGTCTAAAGTAGTCCAGTTTAGAGATAGATTTCTGTTGCCCTCAAAGCTACAAAATCTAGCTTGAACATCACCAAAATTACTTGTCTGAAAGACAATCTATTTGATATATTTCACAGAAGGATTACTCACCTTTTTTCAGCAGAATACGCATATCCTCTAAAGTATTGATAACGAGCATACAGGTAAATCACTCCACACAATGCAGCCAAAACTATAGAGAAGGCAGTAATCAGTTATTTAGAAAGGTTATCAAATACTAATTTCAATAAGAAATACAACAAAGGAAGGGCTTTTTTTCTTTTAAAAAAAGTTTTCCTGAGGCAACTCAAGGACACAAGTGCAGCAAATCAGGTTTGCAAACATCATTATTTGTGCATTGATGGAGTGATAAAGAAGGCATAACTGCCACTATTAAATATATATACAGTGAAGGGAGTAGTCCTGCCTTTCCCCAGCCTCCCTCCAAAAAACTTGCTTAGATACTCATCCACCACCTACTTGAAATGGTGGGAACGTTTACAGCCTTAAAGGGACTCTCACCAGCCTTGCCTTAACAATGAAACAGACAATAAAATGCTGCAAAAGTCATTGCTTAAAAAGATATTTTCCGACAACTGAGGACTAATTAATAAAAGGACTAATTAAATTACAATTTCTCCATAAATTTTTATTTTTTAATTAATGTATTCCTAAACAGTCTCAATTGCCAAAGTGACTCTAGGTCAGGGGTCAGCAACCTGTGGCTCTGGAGCCGCATGTGGCTCTTTTGTCCCTCTGCTGTGGCTCCCTGTCGCCAGTCGGCTCCACAATTGATAGGGGCTTTCAGTTAGGACAGGTAGAGGAAAAAGGATGCCACACTAGGAGGAGACTCTGTGATGGGGGAACTGGACTTCCGGGCAGTTCCAGAATTGAACTTCTGTTTAGGACCTTTGTGGCTCTTTGAGTGTTTAAGGTTGCTGACCCCTGCTTTAGGTAGTATACCTTTCTGAAAAATCAGTAAAAAAATCATGGTTGTAAAATGGGTCAAAAATTCACAAATGTCTTACTCAGCAACAGAAATTTTGGACTCAATTGTGTTCATAAGTCGAGGACTACCTGTAATCAGTCTTCTTCAGCTTGTTCTCATGTGAATTGGTCTGTTATCTCATTTACAGGTAGTGCATTTTAGATGAAAAAAGCATCAGATGGGCCATAGATGGCCCTCAGCATTTTGGGGCAAACAAATGAAGTGGGAGTGTGCAGGTGATACCAAAATCAGTAGTAACTACAGAAAATACTCCAGGGAAACCCAAGGTACATCATCTCTACGACTGCAATCGTGCGGCCCTCCTTGATGAAAACTCTACCCGCCTACTGGATTTTAATACTTAACTCTTTAATTACAATGCAGTTACTTTAGGTAAATATTAACAATAAAAAGTAAAAAGCCACGGAGGGCTTTTAAAAAGTTCTCCAGCTTCTCACTTATTATTCCATATTTTTTACTTGCAGAATGGACATCACAGTTGAGAGATTCTGAATTAGGATTTTATTTCTTACCTTGATGGGAAAAGACTCCAGCCACCCATAAGAGGGAAAGAAATATTGGGAAATATTCTGAGCAATTTGCTCTGATAAAACAAAGAAGAAAACAATCAGTTTGCTGCTGATGAGGAAAAATAATTGGGATTGAACAAATCTGTCAAATTTGCTCCGATTCTCATTTTCTTGACCTCTATATGTTCATTTCAGCCCATTTCTGCATCCATTCACAAATTCATCTCAGACCACTATAGACAAACATGTGTACACATTTTCAGAACATTTCTCCTCTCTGCTCTTTTGCAGCCACAATATTTTTGCAACCCATGCATTATTTCCCTACTTCTAAAATGTGGATCTTTTTGTTCCAGTCTTTAAAAAAAAATCATGATGTTTGTTCGTGTCCTTGCTGAATTGCATGCCTGGTGGGTGGTAACAATTGAAAATCCCTTTTGATTATAGAAATAAAGGTTTTCCTTTTAAAAGTGGGCTTACATTCAAAAATCTGACCAACTACAGACAAGGGGAGGGGAGAAATGGGACTGAAATGGAGGTTAAAAAAATTTGAAGATGTGATAATTGCAGTATTGAGGTATAATTACACAGAAACTGGACATTTGCCTCAGATGTTTTATGGAAAAGATAAGTTTTGGATCTAGAGCAGAGTCTCTTCTGGCAACAAAAATAAATGGTTACAACAAAGCATCACAAAAATAAAATATTACACTGCATACAAAGCAATTAAAAGATGAAGAAAAAGAAAATTAGCTTTGTCTGCTGCTGGAAAGATAAAGTAAGCATTAGTAGACCCATTTGAAGATGGTATTCCCTGGCGGTTGGGAGTGGGGAAGAGGAGGTTCCATCACTTATTTAAAAATGCCATATTCTAGACTTTATTGCCAAAGCATGTGAAGGCACTCAAAATTAAATCTCTAATTATAGGTAAGGTACCACTGTATGGGGGAGTGATGTCTATAAGATCATGGTGTCTAGCATAGAGGACTTCTATGTAAATAAGGTGGATCTGGGATCTGTTCAGGGGTGAGTTGCTACTGGCATTACTGCCGGTTCGGTGTGCATGCAATTTAGCATTTGCTTCGCTCACACACCTGCCAGACTCACACTGTGTGCGGAGTTGCCCATAAATAGATCTGTGCATGCGCAGAACATTAAAAAATGGGGGGAAAACATGCACCAATTGGAGAACCGGTTCAGAGGTGTGGTAGGCCTAGGTTGCTGCTAGTTTTGGCGACCAGGCTGGCAAACCACTACCGGTTCGGCCAACTTCTCACTTCCATATATAGCCGCCTAACTACCTCATTTTATACTATCTGAACTGCAATAGATCGGATAGAAGGCGTTTCATTATCACAAAAGTTCATTTTCTTACCAGATCTGACATTTTGATCATTTCCTCCCTTCAGGGGGAAGTGGAACAATTTTAACTAACTAATCCTACACAGGAAATTTGAAAAGTGTGAGTATTTCCAAGAAAAAGGTTCTCCCTAATTATATACCCAAACCAAACCACAAATAAAACAGGAAGCTGAAAACAGAACTTTATCAGCTGATCTCTAAGTAAAGATGAACTGAAAGGTTAATTCTAAGTTAAATGATGACCAGAAATTAGCAAGAAATCTGTGCAGTTCATTCAATAGAACATATAGTCCCTCTGGCACCATTTTGAACCAATCAAAACCACATTTTGGAGCTGCCAGTCATCTTAGGAACATCTTGTGGCGATTGGCAAGTCCACATCTCATTGGAAGAGCCAAAGTCAGAAGATAGTAGGTTGAAAATTCAGTCCATTGATTTTAAAGATAGTGTGGAATGCCCGGCCCTCGAGAATGAAATATTTTGGGAAATATTAAAAGAGGCAGAAGGAGAAATGGAGAAAAACCTTAACAAAGGCAGAAAGTAGCCCCAGTCTTCCTGCCATAGGAAAACAGCTTCAAACTAAGAAGCTTGAAGAGGCTGACCTTTAGGAATGCAGATTTTGTACCCATTCAGAAAGGCTGGGCCAATCTATTCAAAAACAAAAAGGCTTTCAGCTAAAAGGCTTGTAAAAGGCACAAGACTCACTACATTGCATGGAGCATCGCAATCACAAAACCCCAGGACCCTTTAAAGATCCATTCAATCCCTCAGCCATTTTGTCAGCCACCCCAGAAACACTGCTACTGTCACTGAAGTTTCTGAAAGCCAAATAAACAGAGACTTTCTTTGTAATCAGCCAGCGTCCATTTTAGTTCCAGTGTCTGTCTTCCAGCTTGGAACCGGACCAATTTTTTCTTCCCCACAATAGCAAACAGCAAATGCTTCTGTTTAAGAACAGATGCAAGGAACTGGACACTTTTATTTGACTTGATGGGTCTAGAACTGTGTTTCTCATCCTGGCCACCCTCCAGAAGTGGGACATCACCTCCCAGAATTCTCAGCAGAGGGAATTTGAAGGCCCCATGTTGGAGCAGGTTATCTGGAACATCCCATATTTGGAACAAACTATGGAAAGCTATGGAAAGCAGATTACTTTAGGGGAAAAAAGACACACCCTTGAAAACAAAGCTTTTGTTTCCTCTCTCTCTTTGCTCAGTGCAAATCAGCCCTTCCCACTGGAACTTTGGAAAGGAGATGGCTGTTTGCCTGAAATTATTATTGTTATTGCAAAACAGCTTTTTGTTATGTGTTTATCTTTTCTCGCCAAACACAGTTAAGGCCATGTGGAAATGAGGCAGCTACCATTAATCACTCGTGGAAAAACTTTACCATGCCTTTGAATAATTAGTTATTTATATCTATATTATGGGGATATAAATATTCCTTCCTCCTCCTCTTTTCCCCAGAATAATCCCTTGAGGTGGGTTGGGCTGAGAGTGAGTGACCAGCCCAAAGTCTCCTGCCAGGGACTTCATGCCAGGGTAGGATTAGAACTCATAGCCTCCTAGTTTCTAGACTGATGCTTTAACCATTAGACCAAACTGGCTCTGTAGCTTTGCTTCTGAAATTCGGCTCTCTCGTAGAAAATGTAAGGAAAGAGCACATTTTTTAGTGAAAAGAAGGACTGGGGTGACATGATAGCAGTCACCAAAGCACCAGAAGGCAAGACAAGAAACATTGAATGGAAACTAATCAAAGAGAGAAGCAACCTAGAACTAAAGAGAAATTTCTTAAGAGTGAAAACAACCAGTGGAAGAGCTTGCCTTCGGAAGTTGTGGGTGCTACATCAGTGGAGGTGTTTAAGAAGAGACTGGTACACCACATGTCTGGAATGGTATAGGTCTCCTTCTTGAGCAGGGGGTTGGACTTAGAAGACTTTCAAGGTCCCTTCAAACTCTGTTCTCTAAACGTCTGAACATTATGTTTCATTTTATGTCGTTAGAGAAAATTTTTACAGGCATTTTCAGCTTAGAATGTGCAATTTGAACATGTTTGTGGAAATCAAAACAGAGGAGGAGACCAGAGGTGTTCTCCAGACTTCCCAGTTACTCCACGTAATCAATATTTGTCAAGTTCCTCCCCTTTGTCTAGAATTAGAAGGGCGACAATTTAATTGCAAAACTGCAGTCTGAAAATAGGTTCATGAGAAAAGTGAAAGGAAGTTGAATGTAGTGGTACTTCTGAAGAATGTGGAATAAATAAATCTTTGAAGTGGCTCGACAGAAAGAATGAATGAAAATCAAACCGCAGAGGAAATGCATGAAGAGTGAGTCAACTGATTGAGAAGAATAAAGTTGAAAAAAGTCACAATTAGATGGAGTGGATGAGAACCTAAGAGAGAAAAGAAAACTTTAAAAAAACAAAAAACAAGTCAGAATGCATGAAAAGCTCTAGCCAAATATGTTACTATAAACTAGATCTAGCTATGCTTCCTTCTCCCCTTCTCTCCATTTCATCTTTTATTTGAGTTTTCCCTTCTTTTATGAACTTTGCATAACATCACTTACCTTGAAAGGGAATACCTTGTTTCTCCTAAATGCATTTCAAAGGCAACAAATATTCCTTAAAAAAGAAGAATTTAACTTACTGTGCTCTGAAGATCCTTTCAAACTCTGGTGGGCCTGAAGTGATGGGAGGAGAGACTTTGAACTTCCTCCGAAAAGTGATCACCTGAACAGCAAAATAGGCTAGATGTGAACAAAAGGTAGAGGGAAGATCATTAGTTCTCTTAGTGAAGGAAAACAACTCAGTCATTTGAATCAGCAAACACTGCTCACACTGAGTACACAAAAGCAAAACCCAAGAAAGCCTCAGACAGACCCACAAGCATAACTTGATTCTTATCAGCTTTTTCCTCTCTTTCAACATTAATACGGATGGACAGAAGTTTACCTTCAAGTGGTCAAAGCACCCACATTTCCCCAAAATGATTCTAGTTTACATTGCATACATTTATTCTATTCATTTCTATTGGCCTAATGATGAAGACTCTTGACTCCCACTTGGAAGGTTGGAAGTTCAATCCTAGCTAGCAGCAGATGTTTCTCTCCTAGGGTGCAAATAAAAAATATCTGCTGTGAACTCCCATGTAGGTGTCAGGAAGGGCATCTGGCCAATAAATCTCATCTCCATCCAGTTGCTCCGACTCTACCCTGGATAGATACTACAGGGTGATAAGAAGGGAGTGTTTTTATTCGTATCCTGCCTTTATTATTTTTACAAAAACTCAAGGTGATGAACATATTTAATACTTTTTCCTCCTATTTTCTCCACAACAACCCTGTGAGATAGATTGGGCTGAGAGAAGGACTGGGCCAAAGTCACCCATCTGGCGTTCACGTCTAACAAGGGACTAGAACTCACAGTCTCTCACTGTCTAGCCTGGTGCTTTCACCACTAGACCAAACCCTTGGCCTACTTGCCATAGAGACATACTGTACATGGCAGATTCTTCAATGGCTAGGGAGATGATTGACAGATTAGAGCCCCAGTTCTGTAAGGGCCTCTTATGTTGAGCAACTGTGGAATGAGACCATCCCTTTCCAAGTGGGGAAACTCTTCCCCACCTCAAAAAACTCTTTCCTCTCCTGCCATCTCTCTTTTCTGCCGCTGTCCTATGATGTTATTTAATTTTATCTTTGCAGTACTTTAAAATGTTTTTTGTGGCATCTATTTCAATGTTTCATTTTATATTTTTTGAAAAATAAAATTTAAAAAAATCTTATTTCTTTTGCATGTAGCCTTATAGCAAATAGTTATGGAGCCTTTAAGAAACACTTGAAATAAATAAAACAATGTATTTTGTCACCCCTAAAGCCTACAAACATGCCATTTTTAAAGAGCTAATGTAATTTTTTAAAAAAAACATTGTATACCACACCACCATGTAGGTGGTACAAGTAAAAAGTAAAGAAAACATAACCAAAATACTGACAAAAGCATCCCTAGAAGTGTGTGTCTGGGTTTTAATTAACATTTTCACTAACTGCTTCTTATGCTAATATTCAGATTGTAGGAACAAACTGCAAGGAACAAATTAAAAAGCTTTTGCTCCACACCTTTAAAATCTGCAATCTTCCCTCAGTCTGAGAGCAATTCTAAAAGGCCTGCCTGCATTCCACTGTTTGGGAGAGGCTGGCAGGTCTTTAGTAACCTCTCAATAGCAAAACATTCCAAGACAAAATGCTGAAATCAAATTACGCAGCTGAAACCAGAAAGCCAGCGTGCAGCCTTACACAAATTGACGGTATGATTTGATCTATACTTCTTTCCATTTTTAATCCTCAAATGGAAATTAAAACCATAGAATAAAAAAAAAGATGATGCAATATTTGAGTGTTAAAACCACCACAGAATCCAGCCCAAATAAAAAAGAACATTTCATTTAAAGGTGCATTTTATTCATATGTTTTGAATTGTTGTTCACCGTGATGTGCGCAGTCATGTTACACTAGAAAATGTTAAACAAGGTATTGTTCTATGCAAGAAGAAGAAGGGAAACAAAAGGATATCAAATACATTATTACACATGAATCAATTACTGTATTGAATTGGAAGTTTGCCAAGATATTGTAGGAAACATATCGTATATTTCTGGACAGCTTTCCTTATTAACTCCTCTTGGTTGTCACCTGCTGGGGAAGCATCAACGAAGCATACTTAAAGAACTTTGTCCCAAACCAATATTTTCCTCACAACTTCCAACTTTTCTTCTTCATTAGCCTTATAATCTGCCCAGGGCAAGTATGAGAAAGGGCAATAGAAAAATGGTTGTTCTTCGTTCTTTTGATTCTGCATTTGTTAAACAGCCCCAAGAATATTAGGGCCAGTTGTGGATCCAGCAACTTAGGAAGAACATTTGACCCACTGGAGTGGGTCCAGAAGAGAAATAACCAAGACAATAAGAAACCTGAGAGGAAAAACTCAGGAGAAGCAGTTGGAGATGTTTACCTTGCGGGAGTGAAGAATGTATGAAGACTTGATAGTTATTCAATAACTGAAAGATTCTTATGTAGAAAATGGGACAGAAGTGCTCAGAGTACAGAATAGAATGGGTTTAAATCATAAAGAAATAATTTTTTGCCTAGATAGTAGGAAAAATGCTAATGTTACATTGTTTGGCACCAGAACAGACTGCCTTAGAAGGTGGTGACATTGCTCCTCAGGGCATTCAAATGGTGGGTGACTGGGTGGCCTGGCAATGGATTTTTGGTATTGAGTAGGCACTTGGGCTAGATGATCTCCAAGATATATTCTAACTCTTCCATTCTATGAGTCCATAAAGTTAGTTGTTAAACATGCCACCCATCTCAACAAAGGTGACTCTAGACAGCATGTAATCGTTCAATAAAACTATGGTATAAAACAGTGACGTGCAAACCTTTTTGGTACCGAGTGCCCAAGCCAGAACGTGCATGCATACGCATGCGCTGGAGTGCTGGAAACCCCAAGAACAGCTTACTGGTGTGAGCATGCCTGTTTTTGACCGCTTTTCAGGCCATTTTCAAGCCATTCTTTGGGCTGTGTTCAGGTTGTTTTATGGGCGATTTTCAGGCTGTTTTGGGTTTTTCCACCAGAGCGTCTAAAAATGACTTTAAAAATGGCAAAAACGGCCTGAAAATGGTCTGGAATATAACCAAAAAAACCAGGCTGTTTTTCAGGCTGTTTTCCGGCGCTCTGGCGGCTGACGGACATGTGCCCGCTGGAAACCAGAAGAGCAGCTGACGAAGGCACACATGCCCCCTGGCACATGTGCCATACATTCGTCATCACAGGTATAAAATATTAAAGCAATAAATATAAATCTTAAATTTAAAATTAAATTAAAATTAAATTGACCTAGGTGGATAGAAAGGAAGGAGGTGGAGTGACTGGGGTGTTATCTACCCCATTAGCCATTTCCAAAATGCCACACTCCTATTGGAGCTCCACATCAGTTGGCACAGCCAGATCTTCATGCCCTTTTGGAAGGGCAAAAGGGTGGGTATGGATGTTGCCTCAGAGACCACAATGTCCAGAGAGCAAAAGCCACCGCAGGAAAGGCTCTTCTTCTGGATCCCCACCGGCTGAAGTTGACTGATGAGTTCTACAGCATGCCCCTTCTGTCAGCATAAGTAGGGCAGCTAGTCCCATCGAAGTGAGACAGTAATAAAATGAACAGTGGGGAGAAACAAAGCATACAGCAGAAAATATTCTGCCATACGAGGGATGCTGCAAGCAAAGGATGGCTTTCACATCTCAACGTGACACAAAGAGTTATGTTTATCTTACCGAATACAGTACAATAGCTTGGTTTACCTTTTGGGACTTGTCCTCTGCTTACATTGTGTCCCATTGAACTCAAGAAGGGGCTTTATGGAATAAGTTTACATTTAACAGCAAAATGTTCCCTTGATTTTGGGAGAAGTAATTTCTTTTTCTAGTTTTTGTTCTTGTACTAGACAAACTAAACATCTTTACTACTGGCAATACACAACCACTGTTTCTATAACCCAATCTTTGGCTTTTGCCCTGCCAAATAGCTGAAAGAAACCATGAGCTACTTTTATTTTATAAAAGACTTACTAGAATACCCCAAATAATGTTGGCTTTTTAACCTACTGCTAAATTTCTTCTACAACGTACATTTTATAGCTATCTTAACAACCAAGGTTTTTTGCAGTGTTCAATTTGTTTCTATAACAGCCGAATGCATCCCTTACCTTGTTCCAGCACACCCAAAAGAGTAACAGTGGACAGCAGAGCTATACTGTGCAACATCTTAATCTTCAAAAGACACCAGGAAAGTAGAACAGCTCAAAACTAGACACTCCTTGAAACTTCTCCGCTTTTAGTCATAATTCTGCAGTGCTGTTCAATATAATTAGTGGATGCCTTCGTTTCCTCTTTTAAAGCGTTGGTTAGTTAACTCCTTGCTTGCTGGTGCTGTAAAGGGATCCCATCAAGCACATCAACTAAGTTTCTCTTTGGAGAAAAGATAAGTCTTGTGGACCCATCAAAGCAAAAAGTTTCTTGCAACTTGCCCTTTTATGACTGGGAAAAGTGATCATATGAACATTTTGTAACATTGCTTATAACCAGCCCTTTTATGGAACCGATTGCAAAAAACCTGGTCCACATCTATGATATCTTTTGGAGCATAGCCTAATTGCTCAAGCAATCACACAAAGGAAATTGAGGAACTAGGCAAAGAGGAGGATAGGAAACAGTCTTCCGCACACCTTAACCTTGTTATTCTTCCTGGCTAAAGCAATGCGAATTCCATTCAAAGCAGTGTGTGTGTTTTGGGGTGGTGGGGATGGAATGAAAAGACAGAATATATACATTTGAATATAAGAATGACTAAGAAGTACTGTCTCCCGTTTATGAATGATCTGAAGATAGTTAACCACCATAGAGAAACATTTGTTTATCCTACCACACAGCTTGATCTCATTTCCTCTTTGGTCATTTTAACTTCCCAAAGTTAGTATGGTCTTCCTCCTCCCCTTCTCTTACACACATTGGCAGAGGTGAGGAAATTGCCTACTTGTCTGAAGAAACTTCACATTAGCCTCTCATGTTAACTAGAATCTCTTCTGATGCTTTTGTAATTTCTGCCATTTTATTTAAGGCTCATTTTTGTGTATCTGGGAGTATTTCTAAACAATTTATTCTCTCGCAGCTTTTGGTCCTTATACCTCTGTGCTCCATGTGAAATTTAACTTTTATTAATGAAGTTGAATCTTCCACTGAAACTGTGGATACTAGTTTGAGCACTTAATCAGTAATTGAAAGACACAAGTAAGAAATAGTCTTAAAATGTATATAAGCTGTGAAACAACATATTTAAATGTTCTGGTCTTTTACAGTAGGGTCAGCTTGCTTTGAAAAGGGAGTATTTGTTCTTAAAATTATTTTAACACTTTGGAAAAATATTTAATATTAATTTAACACCTCACTGGGGATAACTATTATGGAGCATTCCCTGGTGCCTTTCAGGTTCTTGGTTCAGTTTCTTTTAATGTAATGCTGATTAGCATGCAACTAATAAGCAAAGCAATATACTTTTAATGATTTAATGAGGCGGCTTCTGAATCCTATGTATCTTTCTTTCCCATCCTTTGTTGGACTTAGAGAAGCCATCACTGGTGGCCAAAGTTGACTGCCTTGAAGGGTCAGAAAAAGTCATATATTTATCAAGAAGCTGGATAGAAACATTCTCAAGTTTGTGTTGCACATTAAATAGTCTCCAGTAAATTCAGTGTGAATGGTGAATTTAATTCCTTTCTTATTAGCCAACCCAAAGTGAGTATCCTTAGAAAATAAAAATCGGAAAGTGGTAATAACTTGATACATTGTTTGAGAATGTGTCTATCTGCTTAGAAAGAAGAAAACATTGAGTAGTAGGGCTGTATTATGTTAATTAGATATATTAAATATATCTAATTAACTTATTTCTTCTCACTTATTTCTTTTTCAATAACATAGAGACTCATAGATTATACTCCTTTACAAAAAGTAACAGTTGTTAAAGACACTTATATTTTTCTCAAGGTATATCCTTAATATATGGAATTGATCAATACCATAAAATCTTGTTTTAACAGACAAGGTGAGAGAAAAAAGTGTGAACAAGAATGTCCATAGGTGAAAATGTCTGTAACTGACATTATTTGTATAATTTGTCACTTACATAATTGCAAACTTTATATAATTTACATCATATTTTTACACAAGTTGCATACATTATGTAAGGTGCCCATGTTGTCATTGTCGGGAAAAATGGAGAAGTTTCTGCACAGCCTAGTTACATATGTTATGGTAGAGATTTTTAAAAATGTAGTACATATTTTTCTAATATGTAAGCTAATTTTACCATGACTTCAAATCCATCTGAGTACAGAGTTGCTGGACACCTTACTTGTAGCCAATTATCTATTTCTAATGTGAGCCCCTTTGTTCCTGTAATGTAGATATAGCTTGTATTTGGTTACCAGAGGGAGTCTTTCACCTTGAAAATGTTGCTAATGTGTTTTATGTGAGAGGCCCTGCAGACCCTCACAAATAAACAATTCGGAAAGGAAATGTTGGGTTTGTGGTTTTCACTGAGCAGGCAAATGAACCAGAATGAACCTCACTGTAAAAATAGCTGAAAAGGAAAAGGTAGCTGTGGTTATCCGGAGTTTTCTCTCCAACAAGTGTGCAGCCCGAATTAAAATGTTTTCAGTTTTATCTGAAATCAGTCGAATGGAGTTCTAGGAAATGAAGAGCAAGTTATGTATTCAAGTAAAAGCTGTATCTAAGGTATTAGTACTTTGGAAGAAACAATCTATTGTTCATTTGTAACAGTTAATAATTAACAAGTATTTAATGAATATTTAAACTGACTCTCTTCTGAAAGGAGAAGCAAGGAATACTTGTTATTAATTCATGAAATTAACAGTGTAACATGGGATTTTTCACATTTGTTTGTTCTTCCTTCCTTTATTCCTTTTAATTAAAATATAATACAGTGGTCATGCTTTCTCAAAATAAGCAGTGTCACAGTCCTTTGGGAAGGGTTTAAGGAATAAAATACCTTACATCTTTTTAAGCGAGGGGTCCTTGTTGCTCTCTGAGCTTGGTTGTTTTCTAGCAGAGGTTTCATTACTCACACTAGGTAACATTATCAGTGCTAGTAAGGAATGGCGGTTGCTTTCAGTTTATATTCTAATGTTTTTTTGTTTTCTTTGTGGCTTATTTTCTCTTTTGCACAGTATTGTAGATGTATGGCTATGTACTGTGCAAAAGAGGTAAGCCAAAAAGGGAACAAAAACCAACAACGAAACACTTCCTGACCAGCAATCAACACCCAGATGAGTAACATCAAGATTTACCTCAGACCAACAATCAAGAGATAAACAATACCCAATCAAGGAATTGTCAAACAAACAGTAAACAGTCCAATCAAACAATCTCTGAAACCACCCCCACCAACATTGAGAGGGCAAGCCACTAGAATATAAATTGAGATTCCTTACTAGCACTGATGGTGTTACCTAGTTTGGATAATGAAATGTCTGCAAGAAAAAGGGCGTTGGTAACTTACCTGATACGCCTCTTCTAATAAGGTGGAGAGAGCATCTATGCATGGGTTCACACTGTCCGTGCTCTGATTGGACTGAGTCTGATTACTAATTAATTAACCACTATATAACCCCCTCCATTAGTGGTATCGCCCAGTTTTCCGACTCAGTCTAGTCTGGGACAGTCGTGTTACCCCTTGCTTCTTCTACACTTGTGGGAGGATAAATACTGAGGCCTAAATTCAAATCTTTTACCCTGCTCTCCATTGCGGTGAGCTCTGGGGCTTCTGGACTTGAGAAGTAAGGACTGCTGCCCACAGCCTTAACGCTCTCCCCCTGCTTGGCTCAGTGAGTTCTCATCTCACCTGCTCCTTGTGGTTGACTGCTGCGGCAGCGAGAAACA